CCCCCCCACGCCCACCCCCCCACCCATACTTTTACCCAAGCCCCCCCCCCCCCCCATTCGCCCTTCATCCGCACTCGTTCTCCGGCCAGCACACGAGAAGTTTTCAATGTGTTGAACGATTGTAGGAAAAAATGCTTTTTTGACCTTTGACCCTGACACAAACAGACAGACAAACTATTTTATTCCATATGACCCTCTCTACAGTCGAGGGAAAAAACTCATCCCAGTACTATTTATCAAAAATCTAAGGGAAAGATGGTTATGTTTCTATCTATATCTAGTACAGGGTCAATCATGAAATGTTGACAATTACAAACAATCGCTGTTCATCAGGAAAAGTATTCTTTTAATTTTAAACAATGTACGTGAGCAATAATAACTGGTAGTCTTTCAGATTAAGCATACTAGTGCACATTGACGTATACGGAGGAAATCAGGAAACCACCCTAGGTTGTCACTATTGATACTAAAGAAATAAATATTGATTCAATAACAGTTGGAGAAAATTAAAAGTGATTAAAAACAGTTGAAAATCAATAGAATTTTCGTGAATCGTACAAGACGTCTAATTTCAGAGTTTTCAAACATTCTCAGTAAGTACTTTAAATTTTTGAAGATACTTTATCCGTCTTATCAAATGTGAATGTTTTTTTACAACTTTACGGTGATTCTTAAGCGTAATAAAATAAGCTAATCCCAATTAGAGAAGACACATTAACATTCTTATAATCAGTTAATTCTGTGCATTAACAGTGATCATGTTATGTTCAGACGATCAAAGAAATTATTTATTATTATTAGTTATTGGGACCATATTCCAGCTGAATATTATTAATAATCGACTAATGTGTTTTAAAATCAAGGAGAAATAAATACGAAAACTTCGGATTTTATCCGAAAGTTATGCGTACTCTAAAAAGTGTATAAGATTTAAGATACAGAGCACCCTACGTGTCACATCAAGATTTTACAATGAGTAACAAAAGATACCTCCGAGCAGCGGAGCATTCCGAATCCAAACGACGCATTGCTATAACACTATTTCCGATTGAATTCCACAACGGCTAGAGGGGCCTCATACAAAACTCAATAATGGCATCATAGTTCCAAACTGGGGGACCCGAGCCATCTCCATGCTATAGTATAAAAGAAGCTGGTAGGTTATCATTTACCCCGAATCTGGTTACCCCAGATGCGTCCCAAACAAAATCCCCATGTGGGGTAAATGTTGGTAAAATCTGAAAACTGGTGACCAGCTGGGGATTTTTTTTCGGGGATATTTTCATTTGGGGATCTTTAAATGAAAATTCCTATACTAGTTTCTTGCTGCAAATTCAAAAACGTCAAAACCCCTACTTGAGGGAATCTGATCATATCATCTACTCTGTTGTCCCTATCCACCCTCTCTATTGCTCTGGTTACTTTGTATAATGTAGTGTCAGTGTAAGATCTGGTGACCAAACATGGATTTTGTACAAAGTTTGCATATATTTGAACTTTCTGTGTTATTTCATGGCTCGTTATCATACATCCGTGGCACGAAGCAACTTTCCTTAAAATATATTCGTACAGTTTTATCTTGAAGAATGCGCGCTTTTAACCATCAAAAGTTTTCATGAACATGGGCCCTAAAAGATTGAGTGCTACTTTAGGATCAATGTGGTCACCAGAATAAACTCACACACAGTAGTATAACACTTGGAATATTTCTAGACAGATTATGAAACCTGGCTCTAATTCTTTTCAGTTTAGGAACTACTAAAGCGTGTCTTATTTATCATGTATAAGAATATACATAATACCACCAGGTTGATTTAAATGTCTTTAGGTTAGGCGCTTTAGCGATACTGTACAGAAGACATCATCTAATTAACATGTTGTATAACCCTTTACGGCCGGCTCCTAGATCCCGTAAAGAAAAAATTCTTATGGCACATATTTTTTTTAGTTATACGATGGAGATAACCCATTTTAAATTTGAGGGCAGAATAACTGAGATTTAACAGAGTATTAACATGTAACCGAAAGGTAACATCCGGCTGAAGCGGGTCAAAATCTTTAAAAAAAAATTTCTTCTCTGATTATTAAAATCCCCGTGTTTGTTCTATTCATTTATTACAAAGACAAATGGGAATAAAAATCAATACAAATCTATTCACAATTCTAAAAGAAATATCACAATAATACTAAGGTTTCAGTTCAATAATAGAAAACTAGTGTCCTTCATGATAAGCTTTAAAACAATTCTTTCGAGATGTTAGACAAAGTCGTAATTGACATTTTGAACACGTAAACGATGAACGACCATTACATTCCGGATAACTACAACGGCCCTGGGATGTGAACACTGGCCAGTGATTAAAGCCGTCAAATCGAACAGAGGACGGTGGTAGCGGAACAGATGCAACACGAGGTTTTTTCGATGGGTTATTGTCTTTTGATTGAAGAGATTTACTTGGTCGACCTCGATTTGATGGGCGTTCAGGTATTATTGGTCTCAATAAAGCTTCAGCAACTTTGATTCGAAATTGTAATAAAGAAATAATTTCATTTTTTGGTAATCGAAATTGGGAACAGTGACGACGATATAATAACCAGCCGTTGACAATTGATAAATCAATCAAATGAAAAAGAATTTTCATGTAATATTTTTTCGAACGAATATTTATTCGGTATAAAGACACCAGCATATCACACAAATCAACACCTCCCATGTACTGATTATAATTCTTGATTACGTTTGGTCGTTCCACTTGAAGATGTTTCTTTTCGGATGATGACCATCTTTTCACTAAATCTTTAGATTCACAACCGGATAAAGTTGATAATACATTGACCACGTTATTGTCGAACCACCGTGTAGCACATAATTCTATGCCATCGACATAGGTAATTCGATAATCGGTTGCACCTCGACCTTCTTGTTTTAACTGCTTCTCGTCTTTCATCATCAGATCAGGTAACCGATTCGCTCGAACTGTACCAACACTAAAGATTCCTAACTTCTTCAGTTCCACTTGCAATCTAATCGTAGTAAAGTAGTTATCATAATAAACATTGTGATTCATCATTGGTGAAACAGTTTCACAAAGAGTAAGAGTAATATCTGTACAGAATCCATATTCTGTACTATTGGATTTGCCAGTGTAAAGAACGAAATCATAACAAAGACCACTTTCACCACTTGCCAGTAAAAAC